ATGGCGCAGTGGCCAGTTTAATTTGAGTCGTTGAAGAAATTATAGGTCAATATAACATACATCAATTTTTTATTTCGTTGCTCAACTTTAGGAGATTGTGATGTTAAATACTAAACGAGTGATCTTAATTTGAACTGCGGTCGCCTTACTCAATTGAATGTTATCAAGACTTCTTGTATTCGATTACAAAGATATTTTATTTTATTTTCTAAAGCTGTCAATAGTAAGAATTGAATGCTATTAACCTTTTTCGTTTTTTTTACATAATATCAACATAGAACTTATCGCAGAATTCCATCAGCAATATTAACCCTAGTGATATTAATCTCACCACGAATTTAATCCACATATTCGAGATTTAAAAAATTAATTGGGTGCTTATCAAACTCAAAAATTCTTTTAAATTTTAAATTTCCGAAGTTATCTATAAATTTTGGTCAAGAATGTGTGATGTGACGTCACGTTATTCTGCGTAAAATAGCATACTGGTTTATAAGAAAAAAAAATTAGAAATAAAAAGTAAAAATACCCATATTAAAATCAAAGCACTTATCACATGTCAATTGTTCGATGTAAAATGTAGCCCAAGTTACGTGACCTAGCTGATCAAATAATATACGAGAATATATTGCAGCTTCTATCCACATAGTATTGTAAAGATATTGGAAAATGTATCAAATTCAGTAAGATATAGAGTCCATAATAATGTGAACGTAGCCCGGAAAATGGCAGAGCATCTTGTTACCACAATAGCGGCGGTATCTTAATAGCTTGAACTAAGTGAATACAATATAATATTATAAAATATATGTATGTATATTACAATAGTGCTAGCCTTAATTAGCCTTGGGAAAACATTCCGCAATTGCATATTTGAGCATTCTTGTCTAATTTATTATACCTATGCTTATACTTAAAAGTCTGGGCTGAGACATCAGGGCAGTCAACATTGTATATGTAATACACGACGCCAGCGTTCTTTCACGCCGGTGTGAACGAGGTCCAAGGAGCCTCGATTGGGTCTCCGGTAACTTTGCTCGCATGGTGAAGCTAGACGTAAGCTTTGCTTTACGTGAGTTTTCTGTGAGGTCTCTTAATGGTGATTATACCAACATAGGACAAACTTGCATAAAATGTTGATTTCTTTGGACAAAAGGGCAACGTTCGCGAATTCTTTTATATGCAACAGTAATTATTATTGAAAAGAAATAGTACACTAAAAGCAACACCGAAAGCGGTAGAAAAGGAATTCATTAAAATTTTAAATATGTAAGGCAGTAGAATTTCTCGTTATTTCTTGCATACTTTTATTTTACTTCGGCACTTGACCCACCACAGATTTGAAATGTTTATATCGTTGACATTTTTCCACGGCTTTATTTAAATTCTTTTAAATATGATTTTAAATACACTTCAGATTGTTTTATTGTATAAATCGGTAAACGAGCAGACGGATTACCTGATGGTAAGCAATCGGCGCCGCCCAAGGACAGCCGCAACACCAAAGGAGTTACGAGTGCGTTGCCGGACTTTTGGGGATAGGAGTTGCGGGAAGGGGAGGGATTGGGCCTCCGGTAACCTCACTCACATGGCAAAAGACAACGCTGTGAGTTGTTTCACGCCGGTATTCTGTGAGGCCGTGGTATCGCTCCGGTCGAGCCGACCCATTAGTCCCGAAGCTTAGCTCCCCCACTCTTTCGATTAATGTTTCTTAGTGTAACGAAAATTTGCGTTTGGTTATGTTTTGTTTAGAAAATGTTATAGTAAGTACCGTCACTTTCCATTACCTGAGGATAGGAAACAGAAACTAGTTCCACGTTACTATTTCAAAGTAGAAACATGAGTGAACTCTTCAGTCATTTACTTTGCGGGATATATTGCAGTGTTGTATGTTTACTGTCACCAAACATAATCTGCTACTCCTAGTTCCACCTTGCAAGTTAAATTGGAAACTGAGAGCTAAATTTTGTAGCTAATGAATAATAAAGACGAATTCACACGTGGCAATGGAGAACCTTCCTTCCTCAATATAATTAGTGCCAATTTGAAAATAGATTTGTTAGTTCCAAACTTTTAAACATAAGAACTATTTTAAGCGGAATATTTAAAGCCGGTGTATTGATTTCTACACTAGAACTTTGGGATTGTCGTTAGGGTTCAGACGGCAGCTAGGGAGAGCCTATTTGTGTTTCTGAATCTGTGACTCATCTCCGTCCGCCCCACGTTCGCTGTTGTTTGATCTTTTTTCCGGCTGCCTTAATTTTATATTTGTTTATTCACAAATATAAACATCGATAACGTAACCTAGTGAGTTCAGCGAAGCGTTCAAATTCTTTAAGAAATATTTACATATATTGTTTACTATTTTTGTTGATGTTTGTTAATGGATATGCCGCCAAGAGAACTAACAAATCACTTGATAGTAAGTAATCAGTACCACCCATTGATAAATCAGGTACTTCTATAAGTACCTACCACAGGTGTTACAAGTGCGTAGTTAGCACGCTGAAATATAACGCAGTCGTTGTTTCACGCCAGTCTATATATATATCTATCTATGAGTTATGTCTTACTCACGGAGTTAGTACGACTTACTACTGGATTTACTCTCTCGGCAGGTTTTGCGGTTTAAATCAAACCCAACCTGCAGGAATTACAGTAGCGAAGGTGAGTAGTTTGCCAACGCATTTTCCAGTCATGCAAGACGTTATCGGAAGCTGGGTAAGCTTCACGTTGCATATGATCGCGCTTCACTGGTTCTTACCGCTTCGATGACATTTATAGTTTGATCCTAAGTTCAGTGTTATTGACTCCTTATTTATTCGACTACATTTTGTCCTCGTATTTAGGTTCTATCTATAAATACATTAAAGGAAATTCTGTATTTGATTTTTTTTTGTAACCTTCGAAAGGAGATTTTTTCACATCTGTATTTTTTCTCAAAGAGATTCGTGTTGTATTATTTAGGTACGATTTCAATCTTTACTGGCAACATTGTATACAAATCAAGCTCCTTTTGACGACTTAGAACGTCGAAAATAGAAAACTTGCTATGTAAAATTGATGTACTCCAAAATCCATCGGCGGCAAAAAAAATCTATGATAACATTTTATTCCCATATTTTTCCAGAGCTTACTATTCCGTGCTAAAATCATTCAATAAATTAATAAAAACACTTCAAGTGTAATTTATATTGCCCAGGTCTATTTGTAAATAAGCCTAGTGTCTTAAATTGAATAAACACCAATGGCTATTGTGAACTTGACTAAATGCTGTTCAAATTTCATACCTAGATTAATCGATATCTACTCTGAATTGAAGCTAGTAATTGACATTACATGATAGGCTGGTCTAGTACTAGTTGTCAAAGGCAGACATACCGCCAGGAAACTCGATAATGCCAGGTGTTAATTGTATTTGGATGCGTTGGAAGCGTCCGTTCAGTCGGCACACCGTTCCCGCGACACGTATCTAGACCTACGTCCGTAGTCAAGGGTTTGGCGACTGCCGCCAACTCATGTATAAACTTATACTATTCGATTGAACTGATTGATACATGAAATGTTTACTCCAAGACGTTAACGATTTAATTTTTTCTATGTGCTTTGAAGCGTAACTAACGCTTCATGGCAACCTTCTTTATGATTTGTCCAACATACAATTTAATAGGGAAATTCACAACGGATTAGCTGTTGCTTATTTATGAAATTGTCTATTTATTTTAATAGATAGGTCGATACAATTCGTGTAGTTCTGTTGTTTGGCGTTTCAAACCTCTTAGCATTTACTATATTGTAATCGCCCATCAGCTTAGTCTGAATATGCCGATAGATGGAGCATCCATCAGCTTTACACTACCATACGTATTATATACAGGCGCATGGGCATGTAGTTGCCTCAATATTCTGTAAAGCATTTAGCAAAGCCCTTTATATTCGTCTACTGAAATACCGAGTACAATACATATTCCGTTGAATAAATTGCTGAGATATTGGAACTAAAAATTGACAATACATATGCTTGCAAAAGGATCAGATATCTGTAAAAAATAAACACGATGGAGATCCTGTTATTGCAGAATTTCTATGAATTAATTTATTAATATTTAGGAATCTAAAGATGTGATTTTCTCCATTCATGATCATCCGTTTTATTTAATTCATTGCATAGCGAACACATTTTTCCGATTCATTTTGAATAAAATGACATGAAAACCATCTTTGCATCTCGGTTCTCTTGGGATCAGTCTGACTAGATTTTCTTCGGTTGATTGTGCACACTTGTCGAGAAATAGATTTTAATGCAGTCGAAGAAAAATGTACTTCTCGGAAAATATTAAAATTTATTAAAAGTAAATTTTACCTTTCACTGGCATGACATTATAATATTTGATATCAAGTGTGATAGTCGAGTGGGGTTCGTAGTAGACAGGAACCACGTCAGTTGATGACGTCAAACATTAAGTACTGAAAGCATCTTCAGCTATGAGCTAGAGACTTTTCGAGCGGACCAAAACTTTGACATCCCGCCCACGGCCCGCCCACGATGGATATTGTCGGCGTTATAAACATGTTAAATTAAAATAAATTGACTTTGTTTACCATCTCATTGGTAAATCTGTTACAACTGCATTTACTGAAGACAAACTTTTAAGCGTTGTATTAAATGTAATGCAGATATTTATTTTTGATAGTGACGTAGAAAAATATATACCTCAAAACAATATTTCATAAAGTACTAAATATGTTTTAATCAATTCGTTTTCGTCGTAAAATTATTGAGCAATTTAGATTGTCAGACCACTTGTTAAAATTCAGTTACAACACGAACTAATCTGTCTAGAGGGAGGCGTTTGTGGGGTACGTTCAATTGAAGAGCCAAATCCACAGCTCCTTTCAATATTCGGTGTGTCGGCCAAAGATCGTCACTTTCATTAAACGGCTCTATGCAGTTCAAGTAATGGAATTTATCGGTGAACTGGAATGCCCTAGATTCTCCGTTAACTATGCATAGGGTGGTGCAAATTGATCAGGTAATTGGTATACCATTCCGACGATTCGAAGCCGTCAAGGCAAAGGTCAAGCTGGTGCGGCCACCTCGGCATTTGCGAGTCAGTGAATTGCCGTGCGGCTTTGTGCTCCTGCATTGTGAAGCTACCATTGTGGACCAGCCAGCATACGATGTCGTGACAGCTCTCACAAAACAATTGTTTGTCCATTTGCACTGCATGACGAGCGCTTTGTTCTCTTATCGCTACGAAATGTTGGCTAATTTCTTGGTAACCTAATTAAATTATTGTATAAATCTAAAAACCATCTTAATTTACTATTGGAACGAAGGTGTTCTTTGATTGAAACCGATTTGAAAACATTAAACTTTATATTGCCCCATGAAAGTTTCCCAAGTGACCCTAAATCTTATATTGCCAAATCACTGGTTAGTAACAACATACCAAATTAAAAAGGTTCCATAAAATGATTTACTTTCGAAGGAACGAACGAGCATTATTTTCTCATTTGTTTTTGTCGGACTATGAGACAAAGTCGGTGGTATTACTTGACATCTATATGTATAAAGTATTTCGTATAAAATTTATAAGAATATTGCTCAATATCATATTGTAGTTAAGAAGAGGAAAATGCCGATGTTCCTTGTTAAGTATGTGCATATTTGACTTCGTACACATTAGTGTCACTTAATACCGGGAAACTGTGGAGTGGCCCCAGTGATACGGCAGTGAAGTAGTACGTGCCAAATCGACTAATAGCCAGGCTTTACGTTTAATGGAAATCATGAACCTATGTTAATTAACACGCTTCAGCTTCGCAAATTTGATTTCTGTCGCAAACGAGCGCGAGTTATTAATTTATATTTGTCTATTTTGTGTTGCGAAGCTAAAATTATAATAGCATCCGACTATTATTATTCGAAGCTATAGAAGTTGTTTGATGAATTCTTGTTAATATAACGCTATTTAGGGATTGTGCTATTACATTTTGAAGTCTGTTAGCAAGCTGACTGAAGTTTAACATGTCTTTTTTAATGGAGATTGGTGCCAGAACGGTTCTTTCTTTTTTTAAACTGAAATTAACGTTTACTTTCATCGTTACTTGTTTGCACTGACTGTGGAAAGTTACTTCCTACACAAAGCAAATCTCTTTACATTTGCACGTATTTACATTTCACGTATTCGTATTCTTTTTTTTATGAAGCTGAGTGAGTGGGACTCACAGAAGATTATTTAAACATTGCACTGCTCATGGAGCGTATACAAAGTGCTTTTTGATGTACAATTTATATTTTTTATAACAGATAAATATAACGAGCAATCCAATGAATAAATCAGTACATCGTTATTGATACCAAAAGTCGTATTAGTCAGGTTATTAATATTTGATGAAAGGCTCCTTGCGTTGAATATCAAAGCGATCCGAGGCTCTTACCATAGGTCCACTAGCGCCCGATCTGCGGTACGTTCGATATTATCTTAGAATATCAGATCATCGGTTGACTACATTGTGCTGCTTAACTTTTGTAGTCAAATGATAATGGTTTGTGTGGTTGTTTGGAATAACTGTCAGTGACAGTTTACTTTAAAATTTTAAAATGTATGTAGTTTTTTAGCTCTTTTCAGAGGACGGACGTCTTAATTTAACATTTAACTCACTTAGGGCTGATTTTTCAATATTTAGATAAAAGTTACCTGGGGAATAATTATGATGCTGTCGCGTCAAAATGTTTGTATAAGACAATGACACGAACAATTTGATTCCTCAGATAACATTTATCTGACTATTGAAAAATGAGCCTTTAAACAAACTTACTTACGTTTTGTAGTATAGTCATTAGGTAGAGAAATAGTCGATCTATCAATCAATACGTTTAGCACAAAAACGTTTGTCTACCTAATGAATAAACTAATTGTGAATGGCGGTTACGTCTCGTTCGGATGTCACCAACTCCGAAGTCTAATGAAAAACGCGGTCAGCCTTGTATACCCAGCGTATAGGTACTTTGTTCGTTCATTTGTTATGCATGGCTGCGTACGAACCTTCGGCCCGATCGGTTTTATCATTTATTTTAAAAGCGTTAACTGAAACAAAATTCGATTGCATCCGTTTATTCATTGAAAGCGTTCTCTCGTTTGTTTTGATACTTTATCACTTTTTATTGGATCAATGATGATAGCAGAGATGTTCTCTATATATGTAAATATCATCGAGGTTCTTCAAAACCTTAACTTCAAAAGTCAATTAAAAGATAATGGTTTGCCCGAGGCAGTTTTCGTTAAGAAAACATGTAGTTTTTAGGAGAACGTCGTAAACAGCAAAGTAGGTACTACCAAAAACAAAGCCAAGAGCTGCTAATCAATACTTGAGCCTTAGACTAATTATGAGTCGTATTTGTAATGAACAACGACTCTCACGATATTAACAAAGAAATGAAATGTAGACCGAGGCAGTCTATGTATGTTGTAATTAAAATTAAATTAAGTCCATTTCTTTAACGAAACGAATACAAATACAATATAATAATAAAACTTAAGATTAGAGAAAATGAGTATCAACTAGCGAGTCCAATACAAAGGTAATATTTGAATAATATCTGCAAATTATGTTAATGTTATTCTGTGCTTAAAAACTTCAACTTGATTAAAATAATCAAGTTGAAGTTTTTGTGTCACGAAGCTGACTTGCCAATTTTTGTTGGTACGAATTTATACGACCTTCTCTGTCCATCTACTATCAGACATTGACTATTCCCCCGCTCTCTTTATTTCATCTGACTAAAAGCAAAGCTCGAAACCAGGCCATTTTAAAAACTACCTTTAAAATTCGCCATCTTTTTAAGTGATTTATATTTTGCGTCCATTTTTGTGACATTGTTACTTATGTTCGTTAGTAAAAAATTCGGGGAAACACGACAATGTAAGTAACATTTATTTTTTCGTAATAGTTAGTAGGTTTATCATTTCGGGGAACCTGCAATCAACTCTCCACGTTACTCGGGCATGTAATAAAGGTGAGCGGAATTTCGTTTTATATTAAAGTAGTGGAAAGAATGAATACGTGTGAATTTTTTTGTTGAACACGTGCGAGATTTAATTAGTTTGTCGGGTCACTCGTGTAGAGTGAGCCTAAATTACATTCCATTGACAAAGCGTCACTGACCCGTCAGTGTGAGCAAACTTCAATCACAGTAATTCTATTACACAGTAGTGCTTGAATAAAAAATCTGAAAATTACAATAAATTACTATTTTGCAATTTGCATAGGTCACTCCAAAAAGGAGTTTCCATATATTTTTCCAATCCAATGATAAAAAACATCTATCTACTCTTCTCGGAATGAAATAATCCGATTGTGAGTTTTACATATATTTAATTTAAATAAGAAAAGGCGAGTTTATTTTATTTTTTATTGTATTTCTCTGTTGCGTTGGTTTTATAAAAAAAAACGTATTACCGGTACCATTATTTGCAGGTAAATGGCTTGTCAAATTTAATTACAGCATCGAATTGATCTGAAATACTACAAAACTTTAACAAAGCTACTCTCGCGCGGTTTCACTCCGCTGCTCGGCTCCATTTGATCGTAGCGTGATGTTTCATAGCCTATGGTACTCAGGAACATTGTAGCTATCTATCAGTGAAAGAATTTTGGCAACCACATACAAACTTACAAATTTTACGTCTTTACAATATTAGTATAAAAAAATAATAAATGTATGAATAAAACCAAACACCAATTTGTCGAGTTATTATTGTTTGTAAATAGAGTTTTCGACTTAGCGTGGTACTTACCATCGGTCGGGGTGGTTTGTTGGCTGGAATTGATCCGCGGTCGTTCTTCCCCGGCGGCGATGTGCTTGGCCGTCCGACGGGCGACCGGCCGCAAATCGGTCTCAACGTCACTCCCCTCCTCCTCTTCATAACTGTATTCCATTTCTGTAATGTAATGTCATGTTAATAACACACTTTTAAACTTTTCTAATTACTTTCTAAATACATAAGTGATGCGAGGTCTTTGTAAATATTTCAAATCGAATTTTTGGTGCCTTAATATTTAAGTATACATACATTATAGTTAAGCATGAATGGAGTGACAATTATATATGCTATTACATTTTTTATCTGTATAATTACACATATGCTTACTGAATTGTCACATATTTAAATTTCACAGTTTGTAATACAAATAAGAATCATCGAGCTTACAAGTTTATACGAATAAATGCATTGGGTATTGCTCCCCTGAGCCTTTCATGTATAAAACCGTATAAAGGATATTGATGGAAAATACGATACAGCGACCTTATATATCGGTTTCAATCGTGTATACGCTTAGCATATCGAACATTTTTGTGTTGAAGGCGTACAAAGAATATTCTTGGAAACTAGAACCTTTTGTAACACGAACTAACAAACTCGACATAAGCAAAACAACTGGAGGATCCCGAAATCCTAGAAAGCTAACTTATGGAAGTGACATTCCATTTCCATGGAATGGCAGTTGAAAACTGGTAACTGATTGGCAATCAGGGTAAGCCACGGTTGTCAGGCGTGTTTTAGGCATTCCGTATTCACCCGCATTGGTTGTCATGTCAAAGACTTCTCTTCAGCGCAGACTGATCCAACTGCGGTCCAGTCTAAGCTCCCGTTTTGATTGATCTGTTCATCACTATCCTCGACTGTAGCGGTTGTAAATCCATACATACAAAACATCTTGTACTAGGATGCTAAAATCTCTTGCCTCGGATGGATATTCAAATTGATAGTTTATTTTGGTGAGTATTGGTTGGAGAGGTTTAGTTTAGCGTTAGACGATAAAAGGGGTTTTTCCTAAACAAATTGTATATTGTTTTGGTTACTATATTTTGCGGCAGCAGCGGTCGCCGAGCGTAACATCACACATGTCGTGATCAATAATTATTTTTGGGTGTTTTTCCTCAAAGAAATCGCAAGATGTGAAAACTTTGTGATATCACATCACATAGTTTTCACATCGTGAGTATAATTTTACATTAAAATGCGGTCTTAATCCTGGTGATCATTTACTATTTTTGTCACAATTATAAGCCATTCATTATATTAGTTCAGTGGTGTGCGAGGTTACTTTTAGGTTACTTTGAAATATTTAGTTTAAATGCGGACCTCAAGGCAAGGCGTCAGCCATTATTTATTTAAAGCAAAATCTAGTATTTAGTTCTTTTATTAAGAGTACAATATTTAAACTACATTTTATGTGTAAAACTGCGGAAACGCATGCATGCAGACGCGGTCGTGCACAGCCTTCACCGCGACCTCGATTATGTGTTGTAACATTACACTTGCGGTTCACGGTGAACGCTGTCAACTTGGTTTCAGGTTCCAAGTTTATAATAATAAACCGTTTTTCTAAATAAAGTAGGAGACTAGATTTAAGAGGATATCGATGGACAGATTAAAAAAAAGTATTTTCCCAAAAATACTTTAAGATAACTTTCAACAAAAATTTGTAATGACAATCATTTTTGTAATTGTATATTTATATTTTCTTTTTATTTTTAAATATCAGTAAGTACTTTAGTTATTTTTTTTTCTTCTTGCATTAATCCATGCATCGCATTTGTAAGTACTTTATTTAATTATTATTTCTTCTTAACATGCTCCCCTAACTTATGATGGGTTATCAGTATTTATAAACTAACTATCATTGTATACCGATAATATAGCTACATAACTATTATTATGAATTAAGTTATCATTATTAACATTCCTTCTCCTGTTCCGGGCCAGGGCCTTCGCCCAGGGTAAGGCGAGAGAGAGTGTCAGACCCTTACTGGCTAAAAACACCCCCGGTTCCTTCTACTGCTCTGGGCCGAGGCTACGGTGCCTCATTGCGCTTGCCCCGCAACCTCGACTGAACATCAACCCTATAGGGTCCCGTCTGTGATGGTCTATTGGCTCTTTGACACGCGCGCGGAACGCTACGCGCCGTCCGTTCGGGACTTTTTGCTACCAGATAATGAAGACAAAATGGCAACATCACCTGTTACATCTTTAACTTTCTCTTCCCCGCTTCTTCTTCGTATTGGAACTACAAAAATGTTACAAAGTTTCGATTTCCGAATACTTTACTTTAGAATACTTTGCAACGACCTTACTTGTTTAAAGGACTTTGATAAATAGAAGTAAAGAATTAACGGTTCACTATTTAAAATCGATCGAGATCACTATTTTAAATAGAGTGCCAAGTGACGAGGCGAAGGACAAGAGAACTACCCCATTTATCCTTGATTTGAGGGGGGGGATCATCAAATGAATGATCTCTCGCCTCTCTGCGGATGTCCATGGGCAGAGCTGGTTGCTTACAATCAGGTAATCCGTCTGCTCGTTTGCCGACCTATTAAATAAAAAAAGTTATTTTAAATTCTGCAGATATTTTTTTATTGTTTATATTTTAATTGTTTTTATTGTTTAATAATTTTTAGATCGTATTTGGTTTTGGAGTAGTTTATATGCCAAATATACACCTGCTCACAAACTTAACAAAGTCTTTTTCAAGAGTTCAATCGTGTGTAGATAGTTTTTAACACAATCCTGAGTTGCATTTCATAGCAAATGCAACGGAAAGTAAATTTTAATATTATATCGCGCTTCACGTGGAGGCGTGCACTCAAATGGATTACGTCGAGAACAGTTCCGTAGCACCTTCACAAATTGTAAGTAACATTGGCACGCCGACCGTCTCAATAAAAATGTAGAGGTACGAACAGATTGCACAATATAACATGTTATAAACAATGCTATAGTTATATTACATTTTTAGTAATTGGGACACATGATAGTCACTTGTTATAAATGACATCTCGAAAGAAGATTGTGAATGGCGTGGTAGAACGTTCAATAAAGATAATTATACTGTAATTGATGATAAAAGAAAATAATCACATCACAGTTTTAATGAAAATAATGTCCTGTACTATAAAAAAACTTATTGATTATTAAAAGTTTTAATATTTTTTATTAATTCATTTTGCCTCAAGTAATTTTTGTCTTCAATTTAAAAAGAAAATATTATGACATCATAGCTGATAGTCTTGTACAAAATTTTTAGACGTAGAAGTATCATTCATGGTATTTTAATTGAAGTTTCGAATTTGGCTAGTTCTTAACAGTATTGTAATGAGGATGTGTTATGAAAGTCTATATTGGTAAGTATACATATAACATGTTACTCAATCTGTACGCACCATTACATCAACACGTCAAACGTGTAAATAAAAATGTAAGAAGCTTTGGATCAGTGTAGTCTACACCAGAAATGTACCAATTTTCCAATGTTTGATATCAGGAAGGTTTAATGCCGTAAATGCTATTGTGGACGGCATCGACTTTCCTACCACAATTCAATAAAGCAAATCAGAGCTCTCTCCTAGAGCATCTTTTGTCGTTTACCTGGTATTTCTATCGATGTGTTCTTTAGAATTCTTGTAAAACTGCAGTGCTCAATATTTCTTATGTACTCGTATCTACACATATGTAAATATTCCATAAATATGTTGTCTATTTAAATATCTGTTTGCGTTTCTACATACCATATATATACGTTTATATATTTAAATATCTACTTATTCCAAAATGTTTATTTTACACATATAAATATTTTTTTAAGCTGCATGCTTTCATTTTTGTATTTTACTGAAAATTTGCATATGTTTCTCATATTTGTAAACTAAAACATGTTTGAAATTTTCACACATCGCTGGCTGCGTGTGTCGAGTGCTGTTCGTGTAAATATTAGACATACGAGTTTTCCCACATCCTTTATTCATTGTTGACATAATCTATTTTCTTGTATATGACTAGCGACCCAACCTAGTCTCGTACGGTTTCTATTTGCCAACTTCTCCTGTAATTTTTTTATTCATATAAAAGTTATCTTCAAATAAGGTTGGTAGCAACATATTAATCTTTTTGTTTCAGTTTTTAACAAACATAATAACATGTTGTATGTTTTTCTCGTATTATAATTCTTTAATGTAGGTTAATTCGTTTGTAGGTGGGTAATATTTATTTATACCTGTATTGATTGAACCTGTGTAATTTGGTTTAAAACTTGTTCATTTTCAGTTAAAACCTAAGAGCATTAAGATTAAAATATAGAATAATATTCCCTTCGTTATCGCTTGTGTGTGACGTCATTAATGCTTCATTTTGTTTCTGTATTATGCAGCATTATAAAGAAGTCTATTGTAAAATCAGATTATTTGTGAGAGAATAACGACTGTCCACACTTTATAATCATTGGTGATGAAGTTGGCGACTCTCCAACATGGGATCTAAATATTTCACCTTTCATTTTATGTATACGCAATAGCAACAAATCAGTAGAATAATACTGAAATATATTCCAAGAAAATAATAAATAAGTACGAACATCGTAGAAAATCTTATTGCATCTTGACAATATCAAAGGCCGAGACACAAGTAAGAGCTATTGTACCTACTGAATCTTGAAAAAGTAAAGAACAAATAAAAATAGCTTATAATATAAAGATATTATAAGCTATTTTTACTTGATCCCAGTACGTAGTAAATCTTTGTGTTTCGCATGAAATTAATAAAACATTATTTATCCGATAAGTATAAAATTCACCAAAATTGATACAAGCTTTTTCCTTTGAGATTTCTTATTCATTTGATGCAAATATAATTTACTCTTGATCAACGAAATCTCTTATCTCTGTACCGTGATCTGATCTTATCAGATTTACACATGGAATTTTCAAAACAAAATTACCTGCTTAGAGCATCGTGCTAAAACAAAATTATTTCAATGGTTATCAATTCTTGACGCTCCATTAGCCCATTAAGTTCTAGTGTCCCATTATTCGCGAACTAATGTATATAATTCATGATATCCGTTACTCAATTTACTTTGAGCCATAAGGCGAGGGTGGGTCGGGTGGAATTGGGGTGGCCAAACGACGAAAATCGATCATGATTCTCGAACACCAACTCCGCTTACGGTTCGAAAAATGAGACATTGTAGAACCCTGTTGCCACCTCGAGAAGAGATAGAATCTCTAAAACATCACTACCGCAGTGATGTGCTGTCGTGATTTTCAGGTTTTTTTAATAACTTGCTCGTGTATATATGAATAGTGACTTGATAATATAGCCTTTGTTAAAATAAAGTCTCGTTAGAAGTTTTATGGCACTAACTAGAATTCCCTGAAAAAGTAAGTACTGAATGACCATTTTCATCCAAAGCTGAATGGCTGTGAAGTCCATCAAGGCTAATACTACCTTCCTTTTTAATCACTCTATCTATTATGAAAATCAAAATACGTTGCGTATTTTTAAAGATTTAATATACATCGGGATATAGGGACAGAGAAAGCGATTTTGTTTCAAACTGTGTAGTGAATATTCATACTATATAGGTATTGGAATAAATAAGAATTAAAATTTTACGTGAAATAATCAGTTCGATATTATTGTCGAAACTTAAATTAACATCCATTGTTCGGCTTATTGTAAAACTTGTAATGTTTGATCACGTTTATGAACTGTCATCAATCATTATTGTCACCTGCTAATGATGATTGACGATTTTTTCCGGGTTATTGCGACCTCAACGATCACATCAACCCGTTCGTAATTAACGTTCGCGCGCCAGCATGAGACTTGCGTAGCTAATTATCTGTGTTAAAATTGTAATTTTGATTTCTCAACCGACTATGTGCCGGTAAAAAATATGAAATGTATACACCTTGTATAGCTCCATCCCTCTTTCTCGCTCGGAAGATTGACACTATAACACATCATAGTAGCCCATCTGCTTTCAAATAGTATAAGTGTCACCATTGGCCTACATACAGCTACCGATTGTAATGTAAAAAAAAGGTTACAAGGGCTGACAACGCGCCAGTGACTCCTCTAATGTTGCAGGTGTCCATGGGCGGCAGATGACTTACCATCAGGCGAAATATATGCTCGGTTGCCTCTTATTCCATTTTTTTTTTGTTAACAATCCAAACTAATATTATAAATGCGAAAGTAACTCCGGCTGTTTGTCTTTTCTTCACGCTTAAACTACTGAACCAATTTCTGAGAAATTTGGTACAGACATAACTTGGAACTCGAGAGAGGCCATACGATAGTTTTAATACCAAAAATCTGCAGGAAGTCACTATTTCACTCGAAAGGAGTCGCAGGCAAAATCTAGTTAGTAATATAGATCTGGTATCAATGAATAGATTTTTAAATTGTGGTAGAAGTTATCTTTTCTCCATAGTTAGAAACGTTCCCATACTCAATAAATCGTAGGATGCGGCCGCGATAAGCCGGGCGACCAGCTTGTCATAAAATGCACGAATTGAAGGCTAGTCAGTCGGTATTCGGTATCAATATTCAAACATGCAGAACTAAAATATTGTATCTGTCTGTATTACATATAGTTGTGTGATAGGTGATCATTCGTCCAATCAAGATAGAAATATTAAATTAATCATTTATTTTAATCGTCAGCTTTTCAGTATTTGTCTATTTTTCGATGTCGGCCCTGTTTTTTTTTTATTTAAGAAGTCGGCAAACGAGCAGACGGATTACCTGATGGTAAGCAATCAGCGCCGCCCATGGACACCCGCAACGGAGGAGTTACGAGGGCGTTGCCGACCTTTAGGGATTAGGGATTTGGGGATTTAGGGATTGGGAAAGGGTCCGGGGAGGGGCAGGATTGGGCCTCCGGTAACCTCACTCACACGGCGAAACACAACTCTGTGGTTGTTTCACGCCGGTTTTCTGTAAGGCCGTCGTATCACTCCGGTCGAGCCGACCCATTCGTGCCGAAGCATGGCTCTCCCACACTTATATCTTTTTATAATAAAATTGTAATCATAGGGACAGGTTTATTTACATAAATCTAGTGTAGTAGTGGAGTTGTCGTCCTACTTAGCCCCATGTAAATTGGATACACAGGATATATGTATACATATATATTGTTACCGGGCGTCTCCAAGTAAGCCACTCTTTCCAATAAACGATTTTATTTAATATTTACTTACTATTTATGGCATTTTGTTACCTGTATATTTGTAAATTGCCTGAGTAGTTTTCGACCAGATATTGAATACTTTTTCGAAATGTCAATAACGACAAATTTTGTATAAAACGGCACGCTCTGACGTCAAATGGCATATTTATTTTCCTTGAATTTTATAAAGAAAATAATATAAATGTAGTTTTAATTATTTCATGTTTTTTGTATTAATGTTATGTACAACCTTAATAGCAGGTCATAGAAAGTTGCAAATTGACATTGATACTTCTTCTGTAGTACGAGAAGGCTCGGGGTAATAATACCAAATAATAAATTATTTTCGACTAAAACAATTACCTAATCACGACTAGTCTAAAAAATCACCCAGTTCTAACACTTCATTATTCATTTAGGGCTAATATTATTAGCTAAAGTCTAGATATAAACGTCAGTAATACGAGGATCTTCCACTTCCAATGTTCATAAAATAAAAATCCAGAACAAATCATACATCGTATCGTTGCGGTTAGTGGTCGCGAGTCCGAAGTTACGGGCTCGCCTTGCTCCGAAAATGTAATGTTCCTGACACGCGGTGTAGCTCTCTACTTGTTGCCTAAGGATTCTTGCACTTGTGTTGAATGGAACTAGCGAAAATCTCGTGAGCTAAGCTGATTGAGCCGTGAATACTCGTTTTTGTCAAACTATGCAATTTACACGCCTCTTATTTATTATCTGAGCTTACTCATTGCCCTTTTTAACACTAATTGTACCTACATATCTAAAGGTCATTATCATCGTCAGCCTTTATGTACCCACTGAGCAAAGGCCTCTTCTCACAACAAGGTTTGAGCATTAATCACCACGCTTGCTCAAGGCGGATTGGCGATTTCAAACTTAAAAGATATTTTTGTTTGTAGGTAGGGGTAATCTTTGCAACCGCTGTCTGGTAGGATTTCCTAAATATCAACTATCTAACTACAGTAAGCTGCCAAAGTTGTTTTTGACCCATAAAAAGGAAAATCCGCGAGAGAACGTCAAACGATTCGCTTATTTTCTACAAAAAAATTCTATTAAAAAAGTTATAAGCAATGTTAAAAAAATCTTTCGTAATTCAACCCTGCTTTTTGGTACCTATTAAAAATATTTCACTTAAAATATTCCCGTTCCAAAAGCTGTACAAATAAACTGCTGCCTTTTGAATGCAGAGCAGTGGATTCTGTTTACTTACTAGCTTATAAACGGTGGCCAATTCAACAGAAAAATAAATGAAAAAATAAGCTACTCTTCTATGAACTTGATTGATTCTGTCTAGTAAACGGTGACACCGAATTCCTAGAATAGCGTTGATTTTGAATGAACCGTAAATATCCTATACATTGGCACTGCATACCTTCACTTATATTGAGGAATAAATACGTATGTGTATAATATTATTTTAAAACGTTTTATCTTCAACTGTTTTTACAAAACTTAAGCTATACTCATGTGTCTATTGTATCCAGATACAAAACTACTTCAATATTTTTTTCGTGCGTACTTTTTAAATAAAAGAGCTCATCGAGCGGATTCTAAAATGTTGTTTCATATCAATAGTTTAGAAAAATCTTTGAAAAATTTTATTATTTCTCTGTAAACATATTACGCGAGACAAATGTCTAATTGTTGACTTAATATGTTATGTATGCACTTTCGAAGTAATAATAAAACTCGAAATTTAACTACTATGAATACCATTTTTAAATTATGTAGCCTACCATTTAACACATATTAAAACATACATACATGACATAGAAACTACTTGAAATAACTTTACTATCTCCATGGCTGAGCCATTGTGTTTACTAAGACAAATTTTCTTGGGTTTCTCACATTGATTAAGTTCAACAATAAAATATAACGTTATCAGCTTTCGCCCGCGATCTCTTTCGCGTGAAATAGTGACTTCCTGGAGATTTATGGTATAAGAATTATATCTTGAGTCCCAAACTATGTATGTCTATCACAGAAATCGGTTCAGTAGTTTAGGCGTCAAGAAAAAATAGACAGACAGACAGAGTTACTTGCGCATTTATAATATTAAGTTTGTATATAATCCACATTAATAACATTTTTGTAATCTATACGCATAAGCAATATTAATATATAGTGTAGGTATATGACACTGGCCTAGACTCAATATATTTCTAAAATATCTTTAATTATTTAGGGATTGAATCTCAGTAGTGTACTAAAGGTTAATTCCGTTTGTTGCTGTAGTTTAAAGCCTTTGATGTTGTTATGTTAACTCGACTAACTTGTTTGAAGTTGTTTTCAACATTCCTTGGACTATTCGGTAAATGCAGGACCATGCTACCTTGATACTGCTTCTATCGTCTTGTCAGTATTTATTTCGAAATGGGCGGACATTTGTCCGCTATCACGCCTGGTGGTAAACGATAATGCAACCAACTATGAAGCTTGCCTACCCAGAAGCAACCTATTCACTCGGGCCTTGAAGACACCCTGGTTATACTATTCGGAGAACACAGAAAAATACATATTCTGCATCATCTAAACTCTTTAAAAAAATTTAGTAACATTTCATTAAAAACGTCAGCGTATTGCGGAGTTGTAAAAGGAAACAATTTTTCGATAAACGGGCACCAAAATGCGGAACCAGCTACCAACACCAATTGGCGTGAATGATACATAGTTGGAAATTATTATTTTTGTCTAGATCCTACCTAGTAAAAATAAATAAACAAACAAACGTGTAGGTAGTAGTAGGTATAAACGCTGGCGATGCGACCGCACCGTTTGCTGAATCGTTTTATTTTTTACCAGTTTCGTACTTTCGTCGCTTTATGTTTACATCTACCGTAAAATAAATTGAATATAAAAGTGTAACACCGCTCTGTTATAAAATTTTGATTTATTTATCGTTTAAAAACAGTTTTGTCACCTACCCCAGCCTTTGTGGAATGGCTCGAACTATGATGAAACAGTAACTTCGTAGTCTGTTTTATAAAGTTGTCGGAATCAACGGCACTTTGTTGGTGTCCAAACTTCGCAACGGCTTGAATTGGTCGTTTCAACTTTAGTGTCTAGCACGCGGCCTTCAATACCTATATTTCGCCAGACAAAACTTATTTTAAGAAGAATGGGCTAACATTCTAAGTATTGTTATAAATACAAAAGTTTCTTACGTTTTGACACCTAAACCGCTTAGGGTAGGTAATTTTTTGATGGCAGGGGAAACTTTTAAAAAAGCCTAGCTTTTTGGAGAACGTACATAGGGAATGTGATTCTTATGTTACTGAAACCACTCCAGTGATCACGCACAAGGGGCCGGAAGGTCGAGTCCTCTAGACGACTCAGTATATTTTTTCCAAAAGAGAACTTTGATCTTTTTAGTATTATTTCGATGTATGGTGAGCAAAGCCTATAAATTGTGATTTAGTATCAAAATTATAGTTTACATTTGTATGGTATAAATAGACATAAATATCGTTTTAGTGTACGAACATTGAACATATAAGAAAATCTTGCGACAATGTCTGGTAACTGTAAGTGCAGGTCTGTGGCCGGTGATCATAGGCAGCTCGATACCCGACCAGAACCAAGCTCGAATTTACGGTGTATCGCTTTCCACGAGGCGTCTTAAAGAGCCCTCAAATGGGGCCCACTAGGTCCGACGCATGTCTTTTTTTGTTATGGGCAAATCATCAAATGACTTCTTTCGCCCAGGGTGAGTCGAGATGAAGTGTCCCCCCTTTCCTTCTTCTGCTCTAGGTCCAGGCCGCGGTGCCTCATTGCGCTAACCCCGCAACTTCTGCTGGATTTGCAGATAAAACGCAAAAAATTACCAATTCGGAACAGAACGTTGTTTTACTCAATCGGAGATTGACATTTCCACCCACACCACCCAAGGCCGGGTAATTAAAAAGACATTTTCCCCTCTCCCAAAAAAGAATTTAAGAATATGATGTCAAAACTCTGCAAAATTAAGTGTTAGATAATATAAAGCTATCTATTAATTTGTGAAGTATCCATTTTTGGCTCATCGCGGCAAAAATAGTAACAAAAGAACCGACCATTCTGGGCCGTACCTATGCCCAGCCATTCGTTGCTTAGTGTGTCACGGCCGATTATACTAGTTATATTTAAAGTCCCGCCTTGGAAATTAGCACAGTTACTAATTGAAATGCCAGTGGCAATTAGTAAAACGCTGCAAACAATCGGCCCGCTTTCAAACGAATTAAGTATTTTCGTTTGATCTTAAACGGAATTATTTGAGGTTAATACTAAGTAAGATGGAGATGTTCTTATTTTGTAAACGAGACAAATATGTTTTTTGTACTACTCGTGTTGGTTTTATTGTACCTGACAACCTGAGATAGATCATTGCGATCATCAAGTTTCAAATCATCGTAAACTCGGGTTTGTGGACGACGAGCAAGCCTGCCTGACCAGAACCAGACTGTATCGTTCCGCCGTCCATACACTCAATACTCAATACTTTATTGCGTTCCATAATGTACATTAGGTCTTAAAAATATAAATATAGCAGAATCACTATGGACTCTGTCGGGCACAGCAAAAGTAGTAGGAGAGAGGAAGAGGGCTTGGTATGTAATTTCGGTGAATGGTCCATAAGGAAGTTTTTCCGCTTAATTATAATTATAGGTATATTAATATAAGTATTGCATCACATGTTTTCGTTACATTGTATTGGTACAGCTACTGTAATCTACAAGTACCTACTCCAGCACCCTTGATATCAAACTAGTACATTCCCAAAGTACTTACGTAAAGGGTCAAC